TTTATAGATGAAAAAGAAATAAATACAATTAATAAGTCTAGGGTATAAATGGGAGACGATTTAATTAATTGGGTCAAAGGGCATCGTATTAAAATTAAAGTGTTTTTTTTATTATTTTTTTTTTAAAGCGCATATTTGCATATTGCTAAAGGGACGACGGTCAGTTAAAAGCCAAGTAGTCGTAAAACATTTACGCAGATCGTCACAAAGAAGAAAATCCGCGTTGAACACGCAAATCGACCATAGACTGTCTATGGGATTACTCGTTCAACTTACATAATCGGGGCAATAAAGCTCGAAAAGTTCGTCCCAATTAACGCCACCCTATGAAAAAAAGAGAGTGAACTAGTGAGAAGATAGCAGTGCAACGGGGTTGTTTAGAAAAAGGAGAGAGGGGGAGAATTTGAAGGACATTTAAAAAAGAGTGAGACGGCCTTATGCGGGCGAAAATCGGTAAAATTTATCACCATGGGGGGTCAATTCGGAATTCTTTCCCCTCCTCCTCTCCCTCGCATGCTCTCTCTCTATTAAGAGTTATAGTCATCATTTTCTCTTTCTCTGCTCTTTCGAATTTCGTCATTCCTTTACTTTTTCGAAAAAATTTTAGAAACAATGGAAAAAAATTTCTTTTATTTCCAAGTGAGAAAACCGGCTAAATCAAAGTGCTTGAGTGGGAACCGCTTTTTTCATCGTTTCGGCGCCCGTTTTCCTTGTCTTACGAACAACAGGCGATAAGATCGGAGCGGATTGCGACGGTTTGCTTTATCTAAGTGCGAAACATTTTTAATTATGCAAATTGCGTAGCGCCGAAGCGAAAGTGCGACTTTCGAGGAGATTATAAAACGCAAAAATAATAGAATATTATTGTTTATTTTTCTTTAAATTATTAAAATTAGGGACACATCTCTATATAGGCTGAATTATGCTAATTAGGTATTACATAGGTTATGTCTACGTGAAAAAAAATTTAAATATATAATTTTCGGTTGTTAAGCGTTAATTGTGTAACGAAGCAAACGTCGTTGTATAATTATACAAATGGCGGAGAGTTTTCGGCTAGAGAAAGTTAATTTTCCTCTTGTTTTGGTTTATTTTTACATTTTTAGCCCTATAAACAAAAATTGGTAAAAATTAAATATTAATCTTTTTAGAAGCCCCTATCGAATAATTAATTTCGATGGTTTGATAAAAGCAAAGAAGAAAAAACGAAGCGGATCTTGTTTTATATCCTTTCTTATCTTGTCTGAAAATCTTTCTCTTCTTGAACTCTATATCTATAATAAATAACTTTAAGGATATAAAAAAGAGTACCATTTTGCCATATACCTTTTTATAATGTATTTGTAGAAGGAATAAGAAAATATAAAAGGAAAGCAAAATAATACATGTGATTCTTTTCATTAGCATAGAACTCTCACACTGGTAACAAATTCCGCTGCAATTATACAAGTGTCAACTGGTAAATAAGATGAAATTGCTAATTGCAATAATTATTTAAATTAAAAGCAAGTTAGCCAAGAGAAGGAGAAACTTTAAAGAGAATAATATCGAATATATAGAAAAAAAAACTCGGACTGCATATTGTAAAAAAAAAATTCGCCAACTAATCACTCTTTATTAAAAAAGCTAATTAATGGTACCAATCACACTAGAGTTATAGCAGGAGTCTAATAAATGAAATGTCGGATGCAATAATTAAGCGAAACTTGATACATTGCCTACAGGATAGTCTGTAAATAGACTTGATATTCCTGAGCAGAATAATATATATGCTTTTAAATATATACTTCAATAAATTCATATATTTTCAGATTAATGTCTATCTATTCTATACAAACAAGGAAAAAAAAACAAAATAATATTTTATCTATATTGTTTGCTGTATTATAAAGAGAGTTTCTAGATGGAAGGGGAAAGGGAACAAAGCAAGGACGCGCTTCCAGCAGATCTCCTTTCAAGGATTATCCCATTATCAGATCGTTCAGGGGCAGGCGACGCGCTCTTGAAGCGTCGAAAGTGACGACACGTCATTTTTGGTATCCCGTTGAGTCGACGAGTTTACTCCCTAATCGTTCTATTCTCTTTCAGCCGGCCTAGACGCCGCAGGCGGCTGGCAATTAGCTCGCCAAGAAAACAAATCGATTTGGCGATTTTCGACGAAGGTGAAGCGATTAATTATACGAATTTTCTATAGATGCGACACTCGTTAATTATTCAGTTTGCGTCGATCGGTTAGATAACAAGAGAAGCGATTAACGATAAGCTGCACATTAACTGGTAAACATTATTCAATTATACGTGATTAATCGAGGAATTTAGACGAGTATAACGTCCGTAAACTATATTAAACTAATCTAGTATCCTCGTGCACATTCATCTGTCGATGTCACGTATTATTCATTACAAATGCAAATACTGGAAAATACATTCTAAAATTTTGATATTGTAAGATATCAAAAATGTTGGCAGAGTGAGAAGTAATCATACTCTGTCGACGAATTTTATACCTCATTTACTAAAGAAGTCTTTGATATTTAGTTATGCTAGACGCTCATTCAGGTAGCGTATTTCTTATATTAGGAAAAATATTGAGATAAAGAGAGAGAGAGAGAAACAGAAACAGAGTTCGTAAGACATTTTTATTGTCATTATTATTACAGTATTTGAATAACTCTCATGCACAATTTACATTCTAAATATTCGCTTTGTGCTTGAGAAATTCCTTCAAGACGTTGTTACAGCTTTTTACAATCTTCTTCTACTTCTATACATCATAAATAAATGAGTCTTTTCGCAAATAATTTAGAACTTTCCGTCCAATTTAATGGTAATAAACTTCAGAAATAATTCAAATTGAATCGTATTTAGTATTTTCGATGGATAATCTCAAGACAAAGGACAAGAAACATAATTGTGATTATCCCATAATAGCCATATTATATTGTATGTAAATAAATATCTAATGCTATTAACTTGATAATACAACAGCAAATATTCGTTTTTAATATATAGATGTATTCATTTATACTGTGTATACTAATATATAAATATATGTTCAGTATATATAACGATTTATATTATAACGATATTACGTAAAAGATATGAAGCGAGTAATTGATGCCAATCAATTCCCAATACGATCGTACTTAACTTGTTTCTCTCCCTTATATCGATAGCCTCCGGTCGTGGGTGTGGCTCGATTCATTCGTTTCTAAAATGAATTTCGTGTCTTTATTTATATTCTCATTTTCTGAGCTGGTTGTTTATGTTGCATCTGTTCCTATTTTCTCCCTCTCGTCCTCTTTTTTCTCATGTTTTATCAACAAAGTACAAGCATACTTGTTAAAATTATGAATAAATATTTTCTTTTCTATTACACCGAACAATAAACAATCATAAAAAACTAATTAAGACAATTTGACTATTATGAGATTCAATTTCCATCATCCTCTCTCTCTCTGTCTCTGTCTACGTCGTTTGCTTTCTTTCCGTCTGTCATTCGTTGCCTGTCTCCCCCTACCCTCCTTTCCATCTTCTATCCCCAAAACTCCCATTCTACTTTTATTTGTACAGAGTTTTTTTTTGACATGTGAATAAAGGAGTGGGTAATTAGTGAGTTAACACATAACAAAAGAGTAAATAGGTTGAAACAATAGGAAAATAAGGCGTTATTTTTTTGTAACAATTCTCATGTTACCTTATAGACTTGACCAAGCTGTTAAGAGCATGAAGTCTTCTTACTCTATACTTTTAAAAAATATCCCCTGGGATGTTTTTATGACCTTCATAAAACCCCTCTAGTTTTATCACTCTCATGTAAAGTATACGTTTAAATGAGGTGTTCTTTAGGGTTTGTATCCCTGAATAATCTTTAGTAAATATTGCATTTATATAAACTACCGTTATAAATTATATGGCTACTTATATAGTACGGTACTATTTAAATAATGGTTTACTGGTATGTCCTGATGGTAATGGCATAATTCGAAAATTTATTCTTTACATTATTGTAACCTTCACTGGACACCAATTTTCTTAGGACTAATTCTCAAGATTAACGCAACGGGATAGAATCGCGAATAAGCGTTCGTGAATTATTCATAACCGCTGCCGAGGCGGGCTACAAGGCGCGAGATCAGGCGGTACAGTTCGCATAGGCGATGAAGCAAGGTGAGAAAGCCATTACTGCAGTCTACTGCAGCATCTGCCGCAATCTTCCAATATAGCCCACCCACTCACCATCATGTATTTCTCCGCCCCTCTTCGTTCCCTTCTATCTATTTTCCGTGAAAGGCGTGGTCGGTGAACAAAGACCGTAGTTTTAGCTTCAGGGTGTTATCTACGCGTCTGTAAATGTAAATATCAGAGCATTTGCGTCGAGTATATAGGAATAACCTGACTAGACATTACAGCGAGCGTCTAATTGGCGCTCTAACGACCCCGACTCGCGTCCGGAACGGTAGGGGGTTGAATTGGGCGGATGACGCCGAATGAAGTCAGTGATTTGTATGGTGTGATGTCTGAATAGTTTTTCGAGCTTGATTACCGTGTTTCGAAACCGCTAAAAGTTAAGCCATTTTAAATGCTCAAGCTGTTCAAAAAAAACCAGTAAAGTAGTTGACATGTTGATTGCAGCTACTCGGATAGAAAACTGAGAAATTCAGTTTATAAAATACCAGTGTATAACTCTATAGGTTAATGGGTTAGGAAAAGAGACATGTTGTAGCGACAAATTTTTTTGAACGCGTCTGAACATATGTTCAAGAAACTGAGGGTGAAAGTAAGAAGTTCATTTGGCGCGCGTCAGACTAGAGGATGAAAGACTTTAAAGAAATACCGGTAGTGGTTAATATTAAAGTCTATACAGTAATTAAATGTCAAATTACGAATAATATTACTATAAAAGAATTATATATTTTACTCTATATTGTACATTAAAATACTATATACAGACATAAACATTTATATAGATATATAAATATATGCAAATATATTTTTTCCTGTATTTTAAATAGATAATAGAGAATTTCTATGAAAAAATATGCTTCGCATGTATATCTATATATATATATATATAATATACACAGTTATTAAAAATTTCGACGGAATGCAGTATAATACATAATGAAAAAAACAAAGAATGTTGAGAGAGTCTATTGAAAAGCGGACAACATTGAATGACACTGAAAGGGCGAGGCGAAAGCTGAGGCTGTTGCTGATTGCGGTACACAATAAGGGTTTTGCTGTGGAACACAATAACTTTGTTGTATTTGTTGCTGACTACCAAATTGACATGGTGGTGGAGGGGGATGGGGTTGAGATACTTGGGGATGCGGTCGGTAATCGTCCCGACGCATTCTTTTTTCATCTTCTTCTTCTTCGCTATCTATAGAGGTAAAAGGAAAATGTTAGAGAAAAGAAAGGCTAATTAAACGACCGCAAAGCCGATGCGACATCAAAGAAATGCTGTTAATCAGTTCTGCAGATCGCTTACCTTTACTGCTGGTGACCGGAGGCGATGAGGTCGATTCCGGTTGTTGCGTTGAAGAAGTTGCGGCGGCGGATCGTTTTTGACCGATTAGTCGATGATCTCTCCTACCCATTCCATTGTCCCTGAAACCTTTGGCGAAAGGATTATTGTCGATCTTTAACTGCGTTATCTGTTCGTTTTGATAAGCTGTAACCGCTATAAACGTTGTCTCTTCAAAGGGGAACGTATTAAATGTTGTCCACCTCAAAGAGAAAATATCGTTGGCTTGTACAACATGTACCCTTGGCTGATATTTGTGCATTGAGTTGAGGATGATCTGTAATTCGATATGCTTTTTTAAAATAATGAAAAAGTAAGAATATTATTATTATATAGAAAAGAAGCACATGAAAGAAGTTGCTGGCAGAAAAATCCCGACTTAGCCCATATAATTAATGATTATACATGGTGACTTGTTTTTTTAGGGATTTCTTTTCTTGTACGATATCCCCAACGAAAAAGCAAATTCTGTCTCCTTCCCTTTTTTCTTTTGGATTTTAAATATTTATACTTACGTGTCCGTTCTGATCCAGATTGTTATTTGTCAATTTCATCTTATGGAAGGCTACTGATTGCTTCATCCAGTGCGAACCAGACGCTGGAGAATCGGGATGAATATATAAACGACCAGGCATATGCGGTTCGGCCTTTCCGGTTACAACCCATTCCGAGTTGTGATACTTGTAACGGCAATCGTCTACAGGTACAACGTCTACGAGTAAGATATATTTGGCAGATGCGTCTAAACCTTCCAGAGACACTTTGAACGTAGGAAACATTCTCCTGTTGACGGGAAGAGGAAAAATTTTTTTTTAGCTTCTTATAGCAGACTTTATTCTACATAAGTGATAATTATAGAATTACAATAAGCCATATTCCCATCATTCTACTAAAATGATTTAGCTTTCCGTTCAGTATTGCGCACCAGTGGCGCAGTTTAAGGGTGAACAAAAAAAACACCATAAGTTAAAATTCAAAATAGAAAACTTTGCTTTGTTGACGAATTACGCATAGTGTTATGCAACCATAGCAATTTATTACATATTTAATCACAGGCAAGCTTCATCTAGATAAATAAGCGAAAGTAAATAAAATAGCTGATAATTCGGACCGATATGTCCTTCGGAGGCGGGCATTGGGCGTTCCGGGGCGGCGCAGATATGAGATCGTAAAGCGGCCGCCAAAAAAGATTGAAAAAGCCTTTCTCTACAGAGAATTCAACTCGTATTTGGCGTGACTTAATTACGTAATTTTGTATACGGGGTTTGAAAGGGAAGGGGTGATATTTTTTTATAAATATATAGAGGCAGGCACGAAATATCTTCCACCCACTTTTCCTCTAAGTTTATCTGTTCTACTTTTTAATTCTACAAGAATTAAAACTATGTATTTAGTGCGAAACTTGATGATGTCGAAAGGGGTCGGGACATTTATATAGGAATTACTATTTGTTAGCTTATGAGTAAACAATTAATTTACCTTCCAGATTTTGTTATTATCATTTCTGTTCCAATTGAATGGAACTTTTTCCAGAGATCCCGATTTTCTAACTTTACTTTTATATTTTTATCGACGCATTGTTCTTGCGCCGGTGCCGACGAAGTGTAAAATCTTCGGGTTGGGGCGTAACTGGAGCAAGGTGGTGCTGAGCTTGCAAATTGATGAACTCCTATGTAGATAAAACAAAATGAAAGTCAGTTTGATAATCGTCTAGCGATCGGTAAATAAGAACGCGAGCCATTTCTTTAATCTTTGATTAATCCTGATTAACAGTTGATAACCACTTAGCACAAGTTTACAAAAAAGAAAAGCCTTTTTATCTCTTTTTCTTTTTTGTTTGAATCTATAAATAACTAATTGTTTTTTCATTTTTCTTTATTTCTTCTATTTCTTTCATGTAAATGTTCATTTTCCGTTTTTCATTTGTTCGTTTTGAATAAGCCAAGTGTATACCCTGTTCAAAAACAGCTGCCCTGGTGACTTCAATGCGGCCACCGACAAAGCCGCATATAGATTGCCTAGGGCGTGACGAGTTAACTGCTTCAGAATGGTCAATTTAGGTCTAGCTAGAGAAAAGCACCTGGATAAAAGTAACAAATGATCCTACACCCATTTTTGTACCCTTTTCGATAACCTAAATTCGACATTCTTCATGGGTCAGGAATTTTTCGATTGAAGTAGACTCGGGGATAGTTTCTACACTTGTTTTTTAACTTACCAGCAGCTGCTCCGTGCAATGCAAATGCCGTTGTTGGATCAGGCATGGAGTGTACAGTTGGAAATCCGTTGAACGGGAAAGCGGCGTTCGTTGTAGAATTTGAATTCTGCATGAATGAATGGTGGACGAAGCCAAGAGCTCTTGAAGATTCATCTTGGAACATGGTCGCCGTTGAAGTGACATTGTAAGACGGGAGTGGTTAGAAGTTTAAGAGACTGTGATTGGCCAATGGCTGTTCAACTAGACTCCGCCCATTTCGGACGCGTGCCACCGCCCTCGAAAAAAAGCTACCGAAGTTGGCGCCCGATTGTGCAAACATCACCTTTTACTAATCTTCGCTTACACACAGTGTTAACAGTAACAAGTATAGGCGCCTTTCAAAACGCGTCAGCCTCTGTTCACCAATTCAATATTTTATAGATTTCACAAACAATACAAAACTATTTCAGTTAAAGTTAAAAAGATTCAAAATGACAGATTCCCTTTATTGAACTTATTTCTCCCTTCCCACTTCTCCCTCTTTTAAAAACTACTCATCCTAATACTCATTAAAATACTAAGCTAGTAATCGAGAATTTGCCTAGTTATATAACTAATCGGGAAACCAACCCGTGTTGACTAGTACAAGAACACTCAAAAGCGGAATTGAGTTTTAGAGAGTCTACACTTGAAGTCAAGGTTCTACTCATTTATTCTTATTCATAGTCAAGTATACAAACGCATCTTATTCCTTCCTTTTCTTCAACTGTGGGATTTATTAGTTAAATTTATATGTATTGTGATACTTTAATGTTGCATAATTAAATATTTTAAATATTTTTATCAATGGAAATTGTTATGAAATATGCTTTTTTTGGGGGAAATTTTCATTAGATGTTCAAAAAAAAATCATTTTTTTTTTTGCCCCAATTTTTCACATTATGTTTGGTATTGACCCTTAAAAAAGCGATACTATATGGAAGTACATATTGTTCAAGCTACTTATATTGTGATATAATACTAATAAGTGCAGTTGTCGTGACGTCATTACCTTGACCTTTCACAGCACGACATCTTCCCCAACGGATAGACGATCAAAGTAATCCAGTAGATAAATCGCCATAATCCTCCATAACGGCAAAGATGAAGAGGGGAAAGTCACGCGCGAAATATGCTCATAGTCACCCCAGCATTGAAATTAAGCTCCTTTACAACTCTTAGTAGTAGTTTTTTCTTTCATAATTCCTAATTACTGAACATTAAACTATTAAAAAGTCTAAACTTTAATTATCTTTTTATACAAGTTAAAAGTTAAAAGAAAAACTATCTGACTTTGATATATTTGTTTCCTTATTTTTTCAATAGATAACTACTAGCAATAAAATATCGATATTGTTAAAGTAACATTTTTTTATTGTTCAAAACCTATTTTATTCAAGTTTATATTGTTTTTATTGAGTCTTTTTTTTTTTACCTCTTTCCGTCTTGTGACCAGCTCAAAAATTCACAACTTTCCCTTCGTTTTTCTGCACCTCTTCCACCACCTCCTTCTTTCATATGTGTTTGAATAACGAGGCGTATTATTATTATTATTATTATTAATTCTATGCTTTATTTCCTGAAACTACACACTTGTATCTTTATTTATGTATTTATTAATATCTTTATTTAACATGTATAACATAAAGAACAAGATAAATAATTATTAACAATTGCTTAAACATGAATAGTATTGAATTACAAGATAAACAAACATATACAGATGTTGACGTGGACATAAAGACAAACATTTACAGGAAGAAGAGTATCAAGAGTAAAAGGTTATGAAGGAACATCTGGTAAAAGGTGGAAAAAGTCATAAATTAAAGATGTTATTTAGGAGGAGGAGTCTATCCGTATATTTTAAATATATATTGCACTTTTCTTGCATGATCGGAAAGACCCTGGGTATAATTTTTTTTGAACAAATGCTTAATCTCATTTATTTAATGTATAATTATTGAATATAAAATGATAGGTGTTACATACAAGATGGCGTAAAAACAAACAAGAAGAAAATTCCCTATTGAATTGGTTTATAACGTTTTCGGCTGCGAATTGTAGATGAATCAAACTCATTCTCTACCGCTACATTATCCCCGAGCGAATTGTTATTCTCCTATATACATACAATATATATCTAGAAAGAAAAGGGGCAGAAATAATTAAGCTTTCGCCGATTCTTGTCCGTCCAACGATTTCATATACCCAAAGGCTGAAAAAAATACTTAGAGCGATCAAAAGGAGATCGTGGTCGTAAAAACGGTGCATTACCGTAAACGAAAGGAGGCCGACATGTTTTGAAGAGAAATTCTTAAAAAGCCGCTTTTTCTCCTTCTTATATATATACATATATATTATATAAAGCAGCTGTGTGTTTTCTTTTTGATGAGTCTGGCTTCTGTAACGTAATACTGTCGACAGATTGGCGTTCGGCGCCTGGAAACGGATATTCGAGTGAGTTACGTAAAACGATATTGGTATTCATTTATTCTTCGTTTATCGTTGATATTTTTTAAGTGTAAATAAGCCGGTTTTGGCGGCGTAACTGGCGCATCTGTTTGACGAAAGCTTGCATAACCTTACACGTTTTTTACGGTAGTTTGCGTAACTTCTGGCAGCCGGTCGGCCGTTTTGTAAGCTTTTGTAAATAAATGAACCGGAGTTGATTGTTTTCTACTTTGATTTTAGTCATAAGCATAATAAAATATACCTAATTTATTGTTGTTTACTTTTCCAACCATTCCTCTCCTTAAAGCTCTTATATTCCACTAAATTCTTGTTAATAAAATGCCTTCTATTATGGCTTTTTACCACGCATTTCAGTTCCAGTAATTTATTATATTAAATCTATCAAATATTTATAAATACAAAAAATAAGCCTAAACTAGTTAATAGACAAATTATTTAATATTATATTCAACTACAGATGGCGTAAAGTACTACTACCTGGGCGTTTCGTACTTATTTAGAGTATCATTCTTGTTAATGATAAATTTTAAATTTTCTACAACGGCTCTACAGTTATAACAATCTAATCAAGCACAAGAAAAGACATGACTAAAATAGAAAAATAGTCTTTGATTGAGACGCAATTAAACCCAATTAAGAATAAATTATAAATCTATCTGATCAAACTGTTTACAACAGTTTTTTAAGAGTTCAAAAGAAGCAAAAGAAAAATAGTTCTGACTCATTTGCTGCTCTTAAAAAAGCTGTTTCTTGGGAATAATAAAAAAGTTAAGCAACAAGGACATCTATTGCCATCTATGGTACAATTGAAGAAAACATTTATTCTCCCTAATACTTAAAATATGATACATGTATCTCGTAAATTTATCAAAATAATTGTCCATTTTTTATTTATATAAGAATAAACTGAGAAAACAGAAAATAGATCAATAGAAAATATATGTATGATTTATTCGAAAAATTGCATTATGTTTGAATAATTTCCCAAAAAAATTGGTTAGGCCTTTGAGAATCAAGTGATATTCATTTATAAAGTAAAATTTTAATGGCTAAAATTTTTATATTTATCTATTTATCTCTTCTTTGAGAGGAATAGCTGAAACCTTCCTTTTTTGAATAAACAAATACCTTTTAGTGTAAAGGTAAAAATAAAGTTAATTAAAGCGATTTTAAAAGGTATAACTTGTAGGCTTTTTGCTAAACTACTGGTAACTTTATAACAACCTAGTGATTAAGCGATCATGTTTTACGAAAAGTAAAAGAAAGATCTCTGAAATGGACGTTTTAGCCTCATTTCAAAGTAGAATTTATATTAAAGAAGAAAATGTTATAAACAGTTTTATATAAGAATAGCATATCCCTTGATAAAAAGTTTTCATTTATAAATGTATACATTTTATACCATATGTAGATATATGTCTATGTATATACTGTATATGTATGTGTAATTTAAAGATTTTAATAAAATTGTAGATATTTTTGAAATGTAATAATACAGCTACTAATTTACATTCTTTAATTGGTGTTATTTATCTTTTACAGTAATATACAGTCTTTCAATAGTCTACAACGCAAGGATTTTTCCATCTCCAAATATAAAAATCTAAAAAGAATCTGAAAAAGGTGAGAAAATAAGGGAAACTGAAAAAAAATCCTTATTAAAGATGAGAGTAATGTAGGAAGTTAACAGAATCGTGAACCAAAGCTAAAAAGAGAAAAAAAAATTGGTTAGTAAAAAAATTTTTATTAAGAAAGATGTTGTAAACGCCTCATAAATTCTGTACAAATGCCGTCTTTTTTAAGGTTTGTTTTGCTGTAAAGTAAGAGAGAGAGAGAGAAAGAGAAAGAGATAGAGAAAGAAAAAAAAGCCCTTCTAGACCTTCTAAAGCCTTTTTTTCTATGATTTAACAATGGTAAACGTAATTCAAGAATTAGTTTCAATTTGCTATCTTAATTGTCTTCAATGTTGAAGGGATGTACTTCTGACATCGACGATGAAACTGGTGAAAATTATTCAACAGCAAGTTATTTATACAACTCAACATATTTAAAAAATATATAATAATAAAAAATAAATGAGAACCTTGTTATTTTGTGTATTAAAGCAAAACAAATTGATCATATATGCCTAAATTTCTCTTTTTGACGTCTTTTCTTGCTTTCAATTACTTGTGATCTTATTTTAACTATGCAGCAGAAAGAAATGTAATTGTATGAAGCTCAAAAAAATTATATTCCGAAACGAAATATTTTATGAAATTCTATTTAAATATAGCTCTATTTCGTTCTTTCTCTCCTTTTATTTAAACATAGACAAGTTAAAGATAAATCATTTATATATTTATATAATAATATTGATTTCTAAGAGGAAAATGAATACAGAAAATATAAATTGTCTTTAGCTTTTTTAAATATTATATCATAAAAATTCAGATTAATTCCCATATATTTGATACTCAAATTAGAATTTTAAAAATAGCTATGTATACAATATCTATAATTTATATATGTATATGTTAATGGAGAAGAAAAAAAGGAATGATAACATTTATCCGATAATTATATATTCATTTGATAATAAAATTTGCCGGATTGCTCTCTCCAAATTTGTATTTGTAGGGTTTGCAAAGCTCTAAGAAATATTATAATAATAATTCACAATTTACTCGATTTTT